TGCAATAGGTACGATTGTCGGTATCCCGGTCAGGAGAGACCAAGTTTGCCAAGTCGGGATTTAGGAACTTTTTGAGTGAAAAAAGCGGGATTCTTTCGTCGAAAGCGGGACATTAGGAAAACAAACGTATATAATCAAAAGTTTTTGAATATTTATCTTTTTGTTTGAGTTCAAATTACGTTTACGTGACAATAGATAGGTACTTAGTAAAAATATCCATATATGATATATAATATGATATTTTAAATCAAATTACCCTATCGTTAAATAGTGAGAGTAGGATGTCCCGCCAAAATCGGGACGTCTGGCAACGCTGGGCGAGACTATCATCAGATGGAAAAAAATGTCTAACAGAATATTGTGATGTACTAAAAAAATGTACCTAAATACCAAAAGCTAATTGAACAAACTTTATCTACACGAAGTTGAGAAACCTGTTTCTATGTTCGGTCGTTAGCAGGATTCTGTACCTATACCAATACTAACACAAGCAATGAAATACTCAATAAAACAGTGCTGATCTATTTTGCGTGCGATATCATTTTATTGAGAAACTTTAAATGTGTTAAATGTACATTTTCCGACTTTAGTAGCTTGAGTACCTACCTACCTTTTTTATGGTAAAGGGGTGGCAAACATGCATATGGCGATACACAAAATAACACTTGCGCTGTTGCCTACCCTGACACATTCCCCTAGCCCGAGGAGACCTGGAACCTTACTCATCGACAAAACACAATACCATATCTATATTTACTTATTAAATTTTGTTCAATGTAAATGGGATACTATTATAACTGTGGCATGTTCGTACGTACATATAATTTGTGACACAGTACAAAACATAATAATATTTATATCACTAATCCAAAATAGCAGACGGAGTGCGATAGGTTTATTTTTATCTCAAAAGATTATATGTAGTTAAGATAGAAGTACTCGTATGTATGTACTTCAAAAGAACTTTTCCTTTTTTGTGTACACTTTTTTGAGTGCAGTACCTACGCTTATTTCCATGCTAAACTGTCTCAATTATAAACAACAATATGATTGAGTGAAATAATTTCTTCGTTGAAATTTTTAACCGATTTCCAAAAGCAGGCGGTTCGCAATTCGTCATTATATTTTTTTTTATTGTTGTATAGCGTGAGCATATCTCCGAGGTTTTTGGACCGATTTTGATGATCCTTTTTTTGTTTGGAAGAGTTTGTTAGCGAAATGGTCCTAAATATTAATTTCCTGAAGATCTGATAAATACTTTCGGAGATAAACAACAGAACTCCTGAAATACAAACAGTACAAATAAAGTTTTTGGTTATTTTACGAATTATGAAAGAGAGATCGCAGGTAAGACATCTGCATTTAGTAAGTTGATGTTGCTCTGGCTTATAAAAAGTGAAAAATAAAAACTTTATCTAAACAAAAAATAAAAACCGATTTCATAAATAAAACCACTAAAAAGTAAGAAATAAGGCATATTCTTTACCTATATCTATATTTAAAATCAAATCAACATTTGGAGTCGGTATCATGCCAACTCAAGGAGTAAATGGCAACTCAGATATTATATCAATGTATGGCACCGACTCCAAGTGATAATAATATGACTTTAAATGAAGATATTAAATGTAGATAAAGAATATGCATTATTTCTTACTTTTTAATGGTTTTGTTTTTATGAAGTTGTTTTTATTCTTTGTTAAAAAAAGTTTTTATAAATTAAAATCTACATAAGCAAATAAGGGAGTCACTTACTTGTCGTTTAATTACAATGTTTTAATAACAAGTTCAAAGTAAAATACTACTTAACTTAGTAGGTATATAAAGAATCTTACGGCTACACATACAGAAATAAATTATTTTTAACGCTTCATTAAGTCAAGTGTTGGTTTATTCTATTATAATCGCAAAAAAGTGTTGGTTCATGAACCATCACCATGGTGATGGCAAAAAATTAAATCAAACTTAATTTTGTCTTGTGTGTGGCTGTCCGTGTCATGTTTATAAGCTTCTTGTGAATCTTTCAATAATACTTTGTGTATTTTATTCAAGTTATTGCAAAACAACAGTACCTTAAGCACGAACCAATATCGAATTCGAATCGTTTGCGAGTCCGAAATGTCATTGTCAAATCTGTACTGATTTTTAGTTCTCGTTACGTACTTTGTAACGCTGCTGTTCAAGTTTCCATACAAAATTTGAAATTGACATTTAGCACTCGCAAACTTATCGAATCCGATAATGGTTCGTGCTAGGGGTACAGTACCCTTAGCACGAACCAATATCGAATTCGTAACGTTTGTGAGTCCGAAATGTCATTGTCAAATGTGTACTGATTTTTAGTTTTCGTTATGTACTTTGTGGCGCTGCTGTTCAAGTTTCCATACAAAATTTGACAATGACACTTTGGACTCGCAAACGTTACGAATTCGATAATGGTTCGTGCTAGGGGTACAGTACTAAATGTCGATTGCTCTAGATTGGTTGTGCCTACGTGCAATATGTCAGACTTAATACCGTCTCATACATACACATAGCGTTTGAAGAATCTTGTCGTCTCTATTTCAGGCTTTTGAAATTACTACCCTTTCGTGCATTTGCTTGTGCTTTGAACTAAAAATTGTAGTTTTCCAATACGTCAGTGAATTTATAAAGGCTAAAGGAAGAATAACAATAATTCAGTGAATTTATGAAGTCTAAAGAGTCCGGAGATTCGAATAGATTACCTATACTAAATATTATTATGATGACTAGATCAAAGTGTTCGCAAAAAAACTGTGGTGTACTGTGTAAGTAGGTAATAATGGCTACTCATTCCCAAAAATACTCTATTTTTTTAATTGAATTCTTCAATCATAAAAATGACATTTTATGGTTGTTGCGTAGACTTAAATTAGATATATAAGATATTATTACCGGCCTTTTTTCTACCATTTTTTCATGCTATAGTTTATGGATAAACTGGATTGAGCAACATAAATATTGTTAACTTATACCTAACAACTTCGTATTTGCCCTACTTATTACAAACTTGAATTAAATTGAGCCCCTGTTGATTACGTTATTCATTTAAAAATAACAATACCATACTAAACTCTTATTGTAATAAAAATATGTCTATTAACATTTGAATAAATGTTTGTTTATCGCAATTATAAAACCAATTACATTAATATCGATCACGACTTGTTGCATAAAGTACTTATCTTATAATTATTCGATCGAATTGCGTCCCTTTAAAACATGTTATTTTATTATGAGCTTTATATTAAGAAGTATAAGAGTCAATGTATTTACTTCATTAGTTTTTTTAATTGAACATGGTAATGGTATCATTGAAGGTAAACTGTCTATTTGATAAGGTCGTAGCTGTACCTAGGTACCAAACTATCGATTGAACTGTTTTAGTAATTGGCAGAGAAGAAACTAAAATAATACTTAAAAATTTCCAAATATGTTTCAACTTAAATATGCAAATTCTAAAATGAAGTTGCGTTCTGTTTGTTTTGCAGGATTAAAATTAATTGAAAGAGATAAATTACCGATTAAATTAAGCTTTCACCCCCTTATTAATAAACAAGGAATAAGCTTAGACGGGTTACGCCGTGTTTTGTTCATATCACTCAAATGTCATTTGTCATTCAATAGACAGAGACAAAACATGGAGTAACTAATCCTAGCGTAGTCCTTGTTTATTAATAAGGGGGTTTAAGTTTAGACAGAATCATGACAGTACCAGAGCTGTGTGTGGTTTTATTATCAAAAACTATTTTGAAAAGGTTTCGTCCAATATATTTTAAGTTTAAAAATTTTTCCTACTATGGCAAAAGGAATTTCTCACTTTTAGAGCTAGTCTATATTAGGTATCTTATTTATTAATTTGTAGAAGCTGCTTTAGTTTATGAGGGGCGTAATGTTTAGCCGTCACTATTTTAAAAAAATCTTAATATATTTAACAATAACAAAATAAATTTGAATAAAAGTGTCTCGTAGAGACTGAAGCTTGGAAAATGTTGATCAAAATTTCCGAAAGAAAGAAAAGAATTCACTCTCAATTCCTTTCAGTTTAGTTTGGGATTGCTGTCTTAGATGTATAAGTCATTGAGGCACGGTCTTGGAGGTCACAGTCTTAGTTTTGACCTCAAATTTACTCAACGCATCATCGATCCCTTGCTTGATCATAAGGTTATTTGATTCTGAGATATTACTTTTAAGGTTATTTTAGATGTTTAATGTACTTTTTACGGATGTTCGTAGCTACCTGTTTGAATTGTAGTGTCGAATACTTGGAAGAAAAATTTGCTGTTTCCCATAGTTTCTATTTATCCAAACGCTAACGTTTACTTTGAAGCAATAAATCATTAAAAATAAGCAATAAATCATTAAAAATAAGCAATAAATCATTAAAAATAAGCAATAAATCAATAAACATACATACTTATCGCTTCTAAATTTGTAGTATTTTTATGAGCATCAAATATTTGATATATTGTATAGTTCGCAATAAATTTCCGTGAATTATTTTTTCGTTGCGCTTATTTATTTGCACCCCAAATCCGTTATTTTTGTTGTTTTATTTTATTTATTTCACAGCTTACGGAATTAATAAGCTGGCGATATAAAATTTTAAAGTCTATGCTGCTTATTTTCTTTAACTTTACGCTTTCCCTCCTTCGTACAATCTGCGGTTCTTTGAAAGAGACGTGAACAAGCATTTCTGCAGGCCGGTAAGGTGAGGATGGTTGGTGTGGCAGTTTATTACTGCTGCACTTAACTTCACCAGTGGTAGAGTCATTTGCCTAATTAGCAATAAAAAATATTAAGATAGCTTTAGCCTCCGCCCGCTTATTATATTTCTTATTATACGTTTTTTTTCTGGAATGTGTTTCAGCAGTGTGAACTAAATATGCTGATGACAATGATGTGAAGAACAATTTTATTATAAATCTACTTTATGGACTAGTCATATCTTTCACTGAATGTATTTTTTGTTGTTACAGAAATGCCACCTTAGATTTAGCTGGAGGTCCAAAGAGTAACGGCACGTTCCCTAAGGACTTCTTGTTTGGCGTGTCCACGGCAGCTGTGCAAATTGAAGGAGCCTGGAATGTGGATGGTAAGTTGAGTTAAACTAAAAAGATCGCCAATAATATGAATTTGACGACCTCCGTGGCAGAGTGGTTTGTACACCGGGTTTCTTGGTGTCGCCGACTCGAGAGGTCTCGGGTTCGAATTCCGGTGGGGGCAGATGTTTGTGTGATGAATACGAGCATTTGTACTCTAGTCATGGATGTTTAATATGTATTCTATTCGTTACCCTAGTAGGTAACATAACACTAGCCTTATACTGCTTACTTTGGAGCTAGGCTAATTAGTGTGAGTGTTGGAAATAATTATTTATTTATTTATAATGTTTATTTATACTAACATTTTTTCGTCTGTCAGGTAGATTATCAAAAAATATTAGACACGTATTTTTTCTTTATTCACATAATCAAAACATTACAGAGATGTATTGATTTGAAATGACGCATGACGTGACGTCTTGGTACAATTTTTACTAAGAAGTGATGTCACTAGTCCCCAACTATGATACGCTCATTGTAATTTTTTGGTGGATTGACAAAAGAGAACATATGTGGCCATTATTTTTATATATTCTAATTGAGGGATAAAATAGAATTTCTTTTACCTTACCCCGTCATCATCCTTATTGTTTCTGGAACGACCTGGGAGTCCACATTAATATAAAAGTTAATATGCATGCAATGGCATTTGAACCCATTTTTATCGATAAAAATGGCCGCGTAACTTTGTGTTATGTGTAATACATAATATTCATATTATGCAAGATGTTCAGCTAGTTGAAAGTAATTGGAATTAAATCAATCAAAATGTGTGCGTGTAATCCCAAAATTAACTATAAATTTATGTCAATGTAGTTACGTAGTTAATATAGACTTGCATCAAGAAAACTTTCATTTGACTGTTGTATACTCTTGTTTCGACCCTATTTCAGCATAGAAATACATAGGTATAATTTTCTAAGTCTGATTGAATCTGTATTAAGCCACGTAGGAATCGAATGAGTATAATCAAAGAAGTTATGGATGTGATTAATCTTGATTGGTTTCATTACAGCTGCTGTGAAATTTTGGCCTTGAAACACTTTTGTTGCTACTTATTAGTAAACTTATTTTTCTAGAAAAGAAATAATTCTTTATTGTATTGTTTATATTAGTCTGAATAATAATCTTAGACTTTATACTATTGTTGTTATTGTTATTGCTTATGTTATTGTTATATTACAGGCAAATCCGAAAGCATTTGGGATTACCTTATACACAACAATCAAAGTTTCGTCAGGGATGGTTCCAACGCCGACGTAGCCGCAGACTCGTATCATCTGTACAAGAGGGACGTTGAAATGGTCCGTGAGCTCGGAGTTGACATCTACCGGTTTTCCATATCCTGGCCGAGGGTGCTTCCCACTGGTCGCACCAACGTGATCAATCCTAAAGGCATACAGTACTACAGTAACTTAATAGATGAATTACTCAAGTACAACATCACTCCTATGGTCACTATGTACCACTGGGATCTCCCTCAAAAACTACAAGATCTTGGTGGATGGACAAACGGGCACATAGTGGACTATTACATCGACTACGCTAATGTATTGTTCCAAAACTTTGGCAGCAGAGTGAAGTATTGGGTCACGTTTAATGAACCGATGCAGACCTGTTTGGAAGGCTACGGAGGCACTTACAGAGCCCCAGCACTGAATAGGCACGGCGTAGCTGAATACCTTTGCACCCATAATCTGTTGAAAGCGCACGCGGGTGCCTACCATCTGTTCAATGACACATATCGTAGTTTGAATGGAGGTAAGAAAGTTATTTTACTATCCTCGGAAGAATTTAAATTATATCGTTCCACTGGATTTAAAATTTCTATTATTTGATTACAGGAAAAATTGGAATGTCTTTAGATTCTAATTGGGCTGAGCCAAAAACGAATTCATCGCGAGATAAGGAAGCCGCTGACTTGTATTTAAAAACACATGTAAGTATTCCTAGAGTAGGAGCTTTTTGTATGTAGATAACATAACAGATCAAAAATAATGCACCAAACACACGGATAGCCTTCATTAAATTCTGCTTTTTATCGTATTTTGTTTGTAGACCTACTAATAGTGGGTGATGACAGGGTAAATACAGTAAACGGAATTTTATTTAGTCCATCAGTTAGTTAAAAATAATGGATATTATTTTTTTTGACAATAAACCAAAAAATATCTAAGATAAAGCGCTTCAAAGTTTAGTGGGGCCCGTGACGTCATGCGATATTTTAATATCAATTAATATATCTTTCTAATGTTTTGGTTATATGAAAAAAATAACACGTGTCCAATTCTTTTAAATAATGTAACTGATGGAAGAAAAAAAGTTAGTCATCATCCCTATTGGTTAAAGCTAAGATTACTCTTGGTACTTGGAGATAATGGATTACTTATTAGTATTTTACTTACTTACTTCTACATTAGGTACAAGTACTCTGTAAAGCTCTTTGATGACTGAATACAAAAAAATATGTTACAAAGGCATGGATTGTGTGAGGTAATAAGGTTTTAGCGGTCTGGGATAAACTCATGAATAGAAAGTTGAATTATTCTCTTTAATAATACCCACGACATAAGTATTTTTAGATGCTTTATTAATATCATCTCTTCTTACTGATTAATTAAGACTAACGTACGTGTTTCGTTTGTATTGTTATATTGTATTTACATTACGGTTTCATCTTTATTACTTATTTAATGCTAACCTCATTATCCTACAGATAATGTGTAATCGTAAAATTTGCTTACATTTATGGGTATAATAATGATTAAACTTAGAAAACAATGTGAGGTTCCATTAATTGTTTTAACATCACATGACACTTGCCTAAGTTTTCTACTTCCAAAGGAATTCGATCATTATTTGACAGAATTGTAGAGCTCGATGACCAATTTTAGACGCTTATTTCGTGATATTCGCCCACACATTTCTTTAAAAAAATGTTGATGTACATAAGTTACATTCATTACACAATGAAATTTAAAAAAATATTAAATTGTTCCGAGTGAAATCGAAACTATATGTCCTCATTTATCTTTATGTCTTTAGATGGGTTGGTATGCTCACCCGGTTTACTCCAGCGAAGGCAACTATCCTCCAGAACTAATAAGACTGGTCAATGAAAAAAGTCGCAAACAGAACTACACAAGATCTCGCTTGCCAGTATTTAGTGAGGCCGAAGTGCAGTACATTAAAGGGACGGCAGATTTCTTTGGACTGAACCATTACACGACTTATCTGCTCAGTATGGCGGACAAAGAAGTGGGCGCCATACCTTCTCACGAAAATGACGTTGGCATCGTGAGGATTCAAGATTCCAGTTGGCCTTCGAGATCTTCTTCGTCGTGGTTGAAGGTAAAATCAGCTTTTTTATTTTTACGTGGCGCGTATCTTTGCCTTTCTGCTTGAGAGGATGAATGATGGATTACCGGTCCTTCACTAGGTAAACATAATGTCTACTTAGTAAGAATTTGGGGAGCTAGGAAGGTGACGTTGCTTAGCTTCTATTTACTTAAGTGTTTCTTTATTCGGGTAAAGTGAATTAAAGTTTCTTCGCAAGCAAAGCGACTACGATTAGAAAATTGTATGTAAAATAAAATTTGTTGTTCTCGTATTTCTTAAAGTAATTGGAAATTAGGAGTCCTTGGAAAGGTTTTACGTAGCTTTGGTGTGAGGTCACGCAAATCGATCTACTTATTTTTATTAAAAATAAAAGGAAATTAGTAATCCTCATGAATACTGCGTAACTAAAAAAAAAATGACAACAATTAATGACAACAATTTCACATGAACGAAATCAAAGCTGTCAAGAAACAAGTATTATAGCAACAACAATTCACAACTAGGTCAGCCAAGTACCTACGAAAACTAGTTATCTTGTAGATCAAAATCGAACAAAACTATCGATCATGCAACAAGGAACTTGTATAAGAGTGATTTTTTTGTAGATAATGTTTGTGTTTGTGATATAATAAGAATTTAGAAATGTAGCCATTATTATCATAGCCCATAGGGTAATAGAAGCGTACCTGTAACGTCAATTAGTTGTTCATTTCGATTAAGTTAGTGCTGTCAATTTCCTCGCAATAAAAATAGAACAAGACAGCACGTCAATTTGTGAAACATTTTAAATAGACATCCTTGAATCGTTATAAATAGGCAGTCTCATAGATGACTGTAGGTATTGTTAAATTTCTTGTAACATATATGTAACGCGGTTCAGTTTCATGAATGTTCTTTTTGTATCCAACCTCAAATATATATGTAAGGATGATGAAATAACGACACGCACACGCACGTACCTAAGTTTGTATCTACAGGTATTTTTAAAATATCTACCTTCTGTATGAAATAGGGTAAAACAGCTACATTATATCGCTTAATACTTTTAAAATAGAGGGAGACGGACTTATGACAGGAGTAGATGTGCTTCCTTTTTTTAAAGTTAAAAAAGCAAAGCATTTTGTAAGTAAAAAAAAAGATATTATAGAAACGTGACACGATAAAAAAGATGTAACATTGTAAAGTTGAGATACCGTGGTTGAGATGTGAGCTATACTTACTTATAATTGTAATGCCTGATGATGACGCACTTAAAACGACACGGGTATGTTATTAGTATTGCATGCGAAATTATCACATAAACGATACTTGGAACCTTGAAACACGAAGATTTACCCTTAAAAAATAGAACTCGAAATATCACAGTTCAATACGGAATACGGCTATGAAAAAAAGATACCAAACAGCAAACACTATTTAAATTCTCTGCTCTCGTAAAGAGCGTTTTGTGGTTTAGGTAAAAGTTAAATGTTTTATACAGTTTTAAGTTACAAAATAAAAATAAAAAAAAATTAATTCGTTGTCATTACTTTTATATGTGAGTAATTAATAATACCTAAATGCATTTAATTGACAAGTATTAAATTTATAATTTTATTTTTTTAAGCATGTAACTGCTTGATGTTTAAATCTAAAAAAAACATAACTAGAAAAAAATCCACGTGGACCAGGCAGCAGACGGGACTCGAACCCGCACCCTTCGCAATCCGGGCGAATGTAATTATGCTACCGCGGCCCTGACGGCCGCGTCGAAATTCTTCTTGCCATTCTTAAGCTGCAAGGCAGCGCCATTTCTTAGCATTGTGCTGCAGTGCGCTGCCTTGCAACTTAAGAATGGCATTTTAGACATCAAGCAGTTACATGCTTAAAAAAATAAAATTATAACTATAATTGCTATAACTTCTTTCAAATGTTTAATACTTGTAAAAGTATTCATCTGACATTGTGGTTTACCTACAATGCCAAGAAATGGCACTGCCTTGCAGCTTAAGAATGGCTAGAAGAATTTCGACGCGGCCGTCAGGGCCGCGGTAGCATAATTGATCAGTGCATTCGCCCGGATTGCGAAGAGTGCGGGTTCGAGTCCCGCCTGCTGCCTGGTCCGCGTGGAAATTTTTCTAGTTGTATTTTCTTAAGTATTAAATTTAATAATCTTCTCAAAGTAAGGTACTTGTTTATTAGTATTTCAAAAGACTAAAAGGTCACGTTTTGGATGCTTTATATCGTCACGTACGTACGTCTGATCTAAATAAGCGACCGATGAATGAATACCAAAGACATTGAATAAGAATTCATAACTAAGTATGAATTTGTTATTGGTTATTGTCCCTGCAGGTGTTTTTCATATGAATAGTAAGGTATGACTCTCCGAAAAAATTACTTCTTCATGAATAGATTTAAAGAATACATAACGCGCTAAACGTAAGAACTGAAATTCTCTTTATCGTTTTCATAAACTGCAATTAAACATCATCCTCTCATTGTATTTTTTTTTATCAGTACGGACTATTCAAGGCGTCCCACGGCCATGCCATATGGAGAATAAGTATATTAACAATTAAAGATAGGTTATTTTACTGAAAGAAGACATTATTTTATTTTAAATAAAAAGTAGAACTGCATTTTACAGACATTTTTAAAATCGCCTGCCACAAACGGGAGTCAAACTTGAAATGTGAAAAAAAAAACACATGACGTATTTTATGCTAAAAGTCAAAAGGATTAATCATAAAGATTATTTTTACCTATTTAACATAGCATTTTAAATGAAAGGAAGATCTTGAAATTAAAATTTTGTTCAAGAAATTTCCTTTGACTTTTCCGTGCTTCGAACAAGTAACATTATTATTTCAAAGTATGTACTAACTAGTACTTACTTAATAATACAAGATTTCCTTATTATAAGTACGTGAAAATTTTATTAACTGATACCTACTTATACAAACTGCAATAGGTCACAATAAAATGCGACTGACTTTTTTGTGGGGTTATGTAAAAGATTTAGTTTACAAGAACCGGCACGACCAACCGTGTGTAGGAGTTACAATATAAACTTGGACGCATTATTTGAAATATTCACCACGAAAATTTAAGTTAATCGACAGACAGTAACATTATTAAAAGAGTAAGAATTTGTATACAACAGAATAGATCACATTTTGAACATTGATAAATTAAATTAAAAATAAAATTCATGCACCGTTTCGTTTTTATTGTAGTTAGTGTTCAATTATTTAAAAAAAAATATCCTTATGATTTTATTATCCTTATGATGATTTCGACGGTTATCATAAAATGCATGTTTGTTTTTTTGTTTCATATTTTAGGAGTTTGATTCCCGGTTGTGGCTAGTGATTACTAAAAATATGTGAATGCAGTTCTACTTTTTATTAAAAATAAAATGATTCCTTCTTTCAGTAAAAGATCCTATCTTCAATATTTAATATACCTACTTTTCCTCCGTGTGGCATTACCGTGGGATGCCTTGAATAACTATTTTATGTATAGATAATACCCACCAACGTTGGAATATAAAATATTCGCATGCAGTGTTTGTTATGCTTTGAAATTTTATTACAGATATTGAAGCTAATATATTTTTCTAGTCTGACGGGTGTCTCTAATATTATGCAGTATTTACTTAATGATCTGTAATAAAATGAACAGATATTTAAATATTCCAAAACATTAAAATCGTGAGGGTTAACAACCTTGCTTATTAGCACTTAGTGAAAAAAGAACAACGTTAATTTCTATGAGAAGAACCAACTCAGAAAAAAGTACGATAACTGCCTGATGTATTTAGAACCGGGAATTCCCGGTTCCGAGTGTAACTTACATCATTGCACGTGCCAACGTGTTTGTCTTGGGGATTGCAGTTGAGTATTGTAATGTACTCAGTGCTGACTATCTCAATGACGTTGTTCCTTGATTTATTAAAGGACTAGTGGCCCGCCCTCGCTTCGCTTCGGTGTAGAGCTGAAGTGTAGACTACAGTTTTTGTTCTCCGGCTTGTATTATACACAATGACATTCATCTATGATTCTTCTTATACCTGCATGCAAAGTCTCAGCCCGATCGGTTTAAAATTTCATACAAACTTTCATTCCCTATTTTATCCTCTTGGGGGTGGAATTGATCAAAATCCTTTCTTAGCGGATGCCTACGTCATAACATCTACCTGCATGCCAAATTTCAGCCCGATCCGTCCAGTGGTTTGGGCTGTGCGTTGATAGATCACTATGGCAGTCAGTCACCTTTGAGTTTTATATATATAGATATTTGTTACGTCACCGTAAACTGACGATATGAGATGTTGTTGGGATTGCACTATACAACATAATTCAGTACCCTTAGTACGAGTTTGAGCTCACGAAAACTATCATAGTTTTCGTAATTGTAAATTATGCTTCTATGTCCATTTTGGAGAAAAGTAACCAAATATTCTTAAAATTTAAGAAGACGCAAATGATCAAATGATAGAATTTAAACACTGTTTATTTGTATTGCAACGAAAACAATAAAAACAGTACAATTAGTACGAGTGCGAGCTCACGAAAACTATCATAGTTTTCGTAATTGTAAACTCGTACTAAGGGTACAGGCGTCAGAATAAGTTTTCCTTGGTGTAGCAGTGGATAGGTACCTTCACCCATTCTTAATAATATATCAGAAAATTCACGATTATCCGGGTTATCTCCAGTTCTCACTCGCATGTTTATAGTCAAATGCACCGATTGTATATCACGCCACAAATAAGAGCTTTTCAGGCAAGCCCTAACCTCATCAGCTCCGGTTCCCCGTGATATTACCGGTAAGGTTTGTCGGAAATCACCACAAAATAAAACTGTGATACCGCCCATTGGTCGATCATTTTGTCTTATCCGTTACACAAAAATAAATCCTTATAGCATGATTCAGTATTCACGTGCGACGGCGCGATGGCTTATTTCATGTATAAGTTTGGTGTTTCTATACCGATTTCTATGATTCTTTTTTTATTGAATAGGTAA